TAAAATTTAATACAAAAATTATATTTTGTTCAAGTTGTGTGCGAAGTTTTCTTACAACACATCTGACTTGTGTCCATGGATAACCATCAAACGTTCCAATAACCATTGAAAACGATATATTTTTTTTCCCCAATTCCAATGGCTGAATACTTTTATTTAAATAAAATTTGTTTTGGCTAGAAATATTCATATTACTTTTAATAATACAATACTTAATAATAATATGTGTACCATACTTTAATATGTTCATATATAATACTTTTTATTGTTTGAAAAATTTATACATTCATCATGTCAATGAATTCTATAATAATTATTTTTACTATGAGTATGACTGATCTTGAATGCTACTTATTAAAAATATTAAGAAGAAAATCTGTATCAAATTATTCATTTTCCGGTGGATAATAATTTAACCAATCAAAAGTACTTTATTCCACGCTGGCTTTTACGTTAAATCGAGATCGTATGCCACCAATGGGATATTAGTTACGGTGTGTGTTAAATATCGATAAAATTTTACCAAATATTCTAATTTGTCGTAGGTTTCAAAATCTTATAGGTTTGTTATATTATTAGATAATCATTTCAAAGTCTGGTGAAATATATACTGGGATTAACCAGACCAAAATTATTTCTAAATTACAAGTATTCAAATAAAAAATATATACTTAATATAATGCCCAAAATGATAAAGTTAGTAGTAAATGATTTATTTTATGACACATACGTCATTCATGTCTGGCCCTAATAAATAAAAGCATTCGTACATTAATTGAGCGTAAAAACTATTGAAACAAATACACGTAAAGATTTATTAAGGTTAGTATGACTCTGTTTTATTGGTTTTACAAAGATGTTCGTAACTGTTTTTAATTAAACTCCATACTCTTCAATCAGATACTTTAAGTTTCTAAATTTAGGTGTCTCATTTTATCAAAAATCGGATACGAATGATGTTTCGTATTGTTTTAAATTATTAATTAGTTTTTCGATATTACATTTGCAATATAAATAGCTATTTTTATTACTAATATGTTGATTACCGGTTCCATATATAAAATTTGAAATGTATATAAAAATATAATACAACTCTGTCAAGGCAAAAGCCATATATGTTTTAGCGAAGTAAAAAATAAAAATATATACTCCTAGTTTGCTTTTGTAATACTTCGAGTATTTCAGAAATAATTTTTATTTTTGCGTTCATAAAAAGTTGTAACATTTATTATTAAATAAATCTTTTTGCTTGGAAGTACGTAATCGGATTCAATGTTCTTAAAATTGTTTTCTTATACATCACACAAAATCGTACACTGACTAAAAAAATACATTAACCTGTTTGATTTATTTACCACAATTCACTCGTCGTGTGCACAACTGAATATGCCTGCACCGATTCAATGTGAAGTGATTTTTTATTTATAATTTTACAATTCCAAACACACTTCTCCGTTAATCTTGGAATATATATTTTCATCACGATATCGATGATGATGATAATATTTCTCGATTATATATGGTTCTGGTTGAATTGAGTTGGGAAGTTTTTAAGCTAGCGTTTTGCAAAATTCGGATAAGTTTACGATCTGGCTAGTCTATATAACGGACTATAAATGCATTCACTGCAACAGAAATTTCTAATAAAATATCCTTAGGAACTTGTGATACGATCTCAATGATTTACTTTTAGTAATTTGCGTCATGACGGTGAAATATGTACCAGAATGAAAAATAAATTAATATATATATAAATGTACAAAAATAATAGAAAATAACAGAAAATTTACTCATCTACCGGTTACCCAATATGTCTTTATTTTATATATTTCAATATCTCTAAACAATTATAACCTTAATTGAAGAGCTAAATATGATTTTATTTTCGTAAATTAGACGCCATATTCGTAAAAAATATATTGTATATATATATATATATATATATATTTTTTTTGCTTTATGTAATTTTACATTTAATATTTTTTTCTTGTACTAAATATATACATGTATTAATATATCATTAGCATTTATGTATATCTCTAATGCATCAATAACTAAAAAATTATAAAACAAATTTTTCTCTTACTGGCGTTCTTCTTTGTTGTAATTCGGTAAAAATGAACAATATTCATCTATGTTTTTTAATTAATAAATTAAATAATTTAATGTTCCATGCAATTAAGTAGTTTTACGTACAGCTAATATTTGTATTAACTATAATTGCATATTTTTTGTTTCAAAACAAAAACCACAAACATTTTAAAAGTTCAACTTTTATAAATTGATGTATTATATTAGATTATTAAAAAGTCCTTTTAATTTACATTACAGTTTTCCGAAATATTTTATTTGCTAATTTTTTCATTTTTATAAAACACTTATAATGACTAAAAGCTTATTATATTTTTAATAGAAACAATAAAAATAAAAAATTAAACAAAATAAATGATACAATTATAAGCAATAAAAATTATTTAAAGAAAATATAATTTTTACACGGATTTTTAAAATTTACCAATCCCACTTCAAATCATACGAGGGAATTGATCTTATGAAGCAATTTTCACAAACTCCATTGATTATTTTCAAAATACTTATAACTCAATCATTGCTTTATAAAACAACACGTAAAATGATTAATTTTAAAGTAAAGAAGTCAAATTATGTAAATATTATGTGAGGACAGTGATGTCTTATCTATAATTAAAAATCGTAATTATATTACAAGTATTTTGCTGATTTAATTGTATACAATAGATAGCCATTTTTAAAACGTTTTCAATTAAACATTTTTTTAACAAATCTCGGCTTTGTAGTATTCACAATAAGTTAAGCACTAATTTTTGAGTTGATTTTAATTTTTCTTTCGTATTGAAAAATAACTACTGAGATAATTAAAAAAAAAAAAAAAAAAAAAACGATAGGTAACTGGGAGGGAACATCTGTGTCTAATTTTTAATTTAATGAGATACTTTATAAGATTTTTCAAGCAGATTTACTATCCAAAAATGTGCATTATACACGGAAGAAGACAAATTATTTTCAATTTTAATGATCGTCGTATTTCCTCTACTGGGAGGCCTCTTTATACTTCATCTTGGCTTGGTGTACATGTCATCAATCATGCTATTGTTCCGCTATGTATAACAAAATATATAAATTAAAATAAATAAAAAATTCATGAAAATAATTGGTTTTATAATTTGTGTTTTATTTTTTAAAACATTTTAACATTTAGAATTCTTCGCATTAATTAATATGAGAGTTGTATGCAATTTTAATCAATTAAAATTAAACAAAAAATGACTTATTTTCTTGAACTCATAAAAACAATCATGGGACGGAATTCAATATTATTTTCAAATTTGTATTTCTTTTAGTTATTGCAATCACGAAAAAGATGCATGTTATTCAAAATTGTTTGGTGGATTATTATAATATAAATTATATATGGTTCGAAGTTACGAGTATAATATAAATCCAATTATAAGAAGTGCATTTTTTTAAAATATGATATGAACGAAGGCTTATAGCTATAAATAGATTCTTAAGAAAAGTGGTAAATAATTTTAATGGAAAAAAAAACTTTTCAATTTACATTAGAATTGAGCTATTTTGTTTAGTTTATTTATTCTATTGAAATCAAATTCGTCGAATATATTCAGAACTCAAAATAATCTATGTATAAAATTCAAGTACCACTCACTCACTCACTGATGAACAAATAGCCAAAATTACCATGTCAATTCATTTAAAATATTGAGAGAATGTTATTATTACTATGTATAGGAATACCAAAAAATGATTTTTTGAAAATCTTATTTTTAAGGGTGGAAATAGTTTTGGACTTCAGACTGGATCTATAAATTTTTACTACCGAGGAAGTATTATGTTGTGTTTAATATGTTGATTTAGTGCTTAAAGTAAATGTAAATTAATATATATTTTTACATACACATAGCATTAAGAGAAAAAAGTTAATAAATAAACAAAGTTTCATTTTTTTCTACCAAATTAACAAAATGTATTTCTTTTTTTAGCGTGTTAGAAAATTCCGGATATTTGCTATATTTATATTTGATAAAAACAACTCAAATAACTGTATTAAACATTTATATAGCTTTATGCTAAAATTTAATGGACTTTCAAAGGTGGTAAATCTTCGGGCATCGAATTCGGCACGAGCAACGCCGTGCAGGATCAGATAGTAATAATAATAATAATATAATGTACTCCACTACTCAATACTCAATTAATCCATGCTAGAATTCCGCAGTTTCCTCTATTACTTAGGGTCACGTTAATGGTTTAAAATGTGATATGCATTCGGATGAGTTCATAATTAAACGCATGAGATGTGTCTTTCCGGACACGGCAGTATACCTTAAACGCGATTAAATATACACATTATTATGGTCTAAGGCCCGGGTCGTTAGTGGTGCAGCGAAATACGTATTCCTACGTTTAGTTACTCCTGAGTGCATTGTGTTCGGTAATATGTTAATATACTATTATTAATTTCATCGCGGTACGTCAAACACAGTGCATGCCGTATTTGTAGCTCAGTCTACGTCTTCGTTGTATTCATATTATGTCGTTTTAAATAAATAAAACGTGAAATAATATGGTTTAAAAATTAATTCACCACATCGATTATTCACATTTTTATTATTATTACTATACATAGAGTCTACATTATCGTATTATTTATGGTTTTTATAATACTTCGGAGGATTTACATTTCCATAAATAAAACAGTACAAATAATAATTGTTTTCACCACAACATATCAACGACTGCATTGCAGCTTCACTGTTGAAAACGAAAAAAAATAAATAAATAAAAAGATTGATTACGATTTTACGATGTTTCATTAGTTACACCCATCGCACACTGTTCTATTCAATGGGTAATAATCGAACGATGATTTATTGTCGTTAATAAAAATGAAAATTAAAAAAATTATATATATATTAATAATAATAAGATTTGTCCGTCAATTATTTTCGATCCTTACAAATGTTCACTTGGAATTTTTTTACTCCAGTTGCTTCGTTGGCGACGGAGGCGTTAGATGAGCGGAGGTCGGGAGATCGTGGTGTATCGGGGGTGTCTAAGAGAAGGTTTTTGCATAGTAAAAACAGTCTCAAGAGGGTCAGCCAATTGATGTCGGGTTGAGTTTGCAAACGTCACGCGCTTTTGTCCGTAAATATACGTGTATTGTCGAGATGGATCCGGAAAACCCGTGGGTCGTTCCCGATAAACTAGCGTGCACTGGAAAAAAAAAAAAGAAAACGTGACCTTTTTACGTCAAAATCAGGAGTTCATTTGTTCGATAGAAGTCCATGCAGTGACCAGGTTTCACTACCGGTGCGAAAAACCTAATCTTACACACCATCCGCGTGACGCAAAACGTTGCTTTACTCTGTTCACGATAACGTACGCGCAATAGAATAATGCACGGCGCAAAACGTTCGTAACAACGGCACAGTGTCAGACCCTATTGATCACAGTTTGCGGAGAAATATTTTTCCTCATTGAGCAGTATCAATTATTACCCGAGATCGAGTTGACGACGAAGGACTTCGGACCGTTTGGCTATCCACAAAGAGCAAGATTAAAAAAAAAAAAAATAGGAAGATATCGATCGTGTATCATATTTTACAATGAAAAAGCTCGGCGCAGACATTTTTAATTCGATTTCAGCTGTATTCGTTAAAATCTAAAATACTATACATCGGTGTTAAAATTGCATAACCGTATATTTTACGTGTACCTACGATTTTGTACTAATCATTCTAATAAGTATTTTAATTTCGTATAGTTTATAATAAATGTGTTACGCTTTGTGCATCAATGTATATACATCGCATTTTGTATGTACTCAAGGTAACGAATTCATTGATTTAACCATGATGTGATTTTTTTAATTTTTTTATTTTTATATACATTTTGAGGAAATGTGGGGTTTTATTTATTTTACCTGTGGTGCAAAATACGTTTCTGACGACGCTGAAAGAAAACAAAAATGGTAATAACAGTTGCCTTGCATTATAACTGATGTTATACGGTTACTGACGGGACTTATAGGAATGTTAGTGTTGCACACATTTCGAGAAAAACGCTGTCATTATAAGCGGATTTATTTTATGAATTATTTGTATTGAGCTATCATCAATAATAATAATAATAATAACAATAACAATAATACACTCGCGTGGTGCACGTGTTTACGACGTAACCAGGGTTTAGATATTATGTAATAAGTTTTTACCGACCCGTTTTTTTTATTTTTTATTTCGGTACAATACGATTATCCCGTTTGGAGTTTACCTACCTGTATTAATTACGCTACGGCGCGGATATTACGAGCGGTGTGCATTTAAGTACGGAACACGCATCATTTGTATTTGCAGTGGTAACAGAATTAATGATTGTTAATAAAAAAAAAAAATTAAAAAAAATGCAAAAAAAAAAACTGTCATTGGCATACGGTGATTCTGTGGTTTTTGAACCCATTTAAACGCTAAATGGAGTGCTATTAGAACAACCGCTTTGACGGATTAATTAAATATAAATTGGAACCTATTGTGATTTGCACCAACGGCTACCTAAATCGTTTGTCACCCGTCCATCATTGCATTTTACTCTCTATAATTGTATACAGTTTTACTATTATGCGCACACAGTTGCAAGCGAATAATGTGTTATTTCATTTGATTGCATATTTCTAATTATTTCTTTTCTATATTTTTTTTCCATTCGACCAAATAATAATTTTGAACTTTGTTTGTTTCAGAACGATGTGATTTATTCAGCTTTCAAGTGCATAGCCGAAAAATCCGATTGTGCGGAAGCCTACGGTAAAATACTGTGAGTACAACGAGTATAGTAATAATACCTACATACATCTTTTATCAAATTTTCCTACAAACAATATTTATTTTTTTTTTTTTAATATGACCCTTGTCATACAGGAAATTACAAAATAGTAATAATGACGATACGAGTGAATTCATTTGACACCCATGTAAACCATTTGAATTCAACGATGTCCTCATTTTATTTTTCATTTCCTAACCATTGGTCAAGCCCATTATATATAATAATAATAATACATTAATAACATGAATAATAAATGTATACATTTATAAATTTAGAGAAATAAAGAAGTTATTAAGTGTGTTATTAGAAAATAACCCAAATTACAGTAATAACAATAATAATTATAAATATATATAAACTAAACTAAGTAGAGAAAAATACCATTACTTGCGATTCGCATTAAATTGGTAATTTAGGAATAGCTTAGATAACTCAAGAATAATCAATATACGAAGAAGGGGACAAATGAACGGATAGCCGTGGGAAAACTTTAAAGTTAAAGAGAATCAATTTTATTTGAAATTGAAAAGGAAAAATAAATTCACAGCATGAAAACTGTTTAAAAATCTGGATTGGTCTAGTACAAAAATAGCTTAAGAATAGTAATGCGGTTAATGAGAAATATTAAACTTTTTAATTATCTCCTAACATAGTCTATACCGTTAAGATCCGTATATAAAAAACAACGGTCACCTTTAAGAATCGAATGAAAAGTTTAACATCTATTTTTTTTGTACATTTCAAAGTAACCGTTATTCTGCGCATTCCAACTGAACTTTTTTCTTTTTTTTTCTCATTGTTGTATTTATACATTGTACTTTCTTTATATTATCTATCAAGGTGGTATGTCTTGAAAAAGTCTTATTTATTTATAGAACGATCTGAAATAATAGGCATCGTGCTATCATTTGAAAATGGTACACCGTGCATTAACGAGAAAATTACGTACAAATTTATCATCATCGTAAAACAAATTCCACGTTCGTAACCACTTGACTCGTAGAATAAAATGAGTTCGCTCGTTATCATCCCGAAAAAAAAAAACGTTTTGTTCAAGAGGTTAGGAGTGGATAACATTACGGTAGCTTTGGCCGTAAACTTTTAACTTTCGCAAGGTTTTTACAACGGAATAATATCATCGATATCGACGCGTATCAAATGAGGTTATAAGTAGGTTAATAATTATGAAAATGACTTACACGAAAACGGAAATAAAAAAAAAATGCGGAAAATAATCAATTATAACAGATAAATGTACGATGATAACAATACACGGTTGGCCACCGTATTATACTCTTTTGTCTACGCACGTCAACCGCATTACGGCCGCGTGCGACTTTTACCCTCACGTCGAGTGTCCATTGACATGCGTACAATGTTTAGGGCAGACTTCGGGACGTATGCTCATGGTTCTGATGGATTCGCGAAACGACGATGTGGATTCGAATCGTTCAACATCACAATGAATGTGCGACGACGAAAAGGTACGCAAACCGCAGAACTCCGTTCGATTGCGTTTTAGCGCGCGGGTGATAGCTCTGATCGCACTGAAAATAGTACTACATAGTAGGCACATGAAGAGTGCGAACGTAAACGACTCGATAATGGTTATGCTGTTATTCGGAATAATCGAGACACGAACAATAGGTTGTAGACGCAAATCATCGAACGCGATCGGTTTCCGATACGGTTCATTTGTTTCAACAGTGGGTTGTCCTGCGTATAGCGTACAGCTGTTACTGCGTCGCGGCCATGTAATTCGGTTAACTTTTGAACCGTACGTGAATACGGAAAGTTATGTTTTCAAACACTACGTACCTACGACAAAAATGTAACTACGAATATCGCGGTTAAGACACAATCTCGTGAGCTGCTGTTGACGGGGCAGATATTGTTTTGATTTCTTAAATGTTTTATGACCAATAACAATAAACGGAGTTATTTGATTTTAAAAATTGTTCAATGAACAAAAATGACTAGAATGTATTTCTAAACGAACTCGTCGTTTATCGAAGTTTGAAAAAACGTTAATCATTCCAGATAAACACGATCGTTTTGAGCTGATAAGTCATTGTGCGTTGTCTTTTATGAAACGGTTTAAATTAAACGAAAAATCAAATCGCATAGGATTGTTTAACACTATGAACCATGTTGCAGTAAAACGAGTAATTCCATATTTCAAAAATATAACTCCCCTTTTTAACATAGTTAGTTCACTGTTTGTAATTAAATCAGAACACGATTGCTGAAACAAACATTTAAACGAATAAAAAAAACCCATAAAAAATAATTATTATTTCATAAATACAAGCTCGTAGTTTTACAGTAACTAAAGATATTAAAATACTATTATATTATTTTATTTTTGAAACAAACTCTATAATCCTGTGTAATGTTGTGCTTTAATTTTGCATTTTGAAATAACTAGGCATGTAATTTTCATGAGTTCATACGTGCGTGTAAAAATATATTTTAAATTTCACCTTTATATAATTCGTTATAAATCTTTACTTAAAAGTTGTGCGATCCAATTACCATAACACCACAAACATTTCTGCGTGTAGGTACTACTAACATTAAACGTTTTACCAAATTAGCATATACTTTGGGCGAGTAAAAATAAAAATTAAGTGTACAACTTGTACGAAATTATAATTACCTCTACCGAACACAGTTATTATATATAATACGGTAAAACATTTACACAAGTAGTTATGATTTAACTACTTTAAATATTTACACTACGGCCGGATACCTTTATGGAATCTTATTAAATTTTCAAGTTCTTAAGTTTTTGCTGTGATTAAATAATAAATAATATCTGGCTAAATAATAATTAAATATAACACGGTGTTTAATATTGTATAAATTTTAATACATTGACGGTTGAATATCGGAATAAATCTAGATCGAAAAATGTTAACCTCGGAAGAGGAAAATGTTGCTAATTCCTATTGTAAATCATTTCAAACGGGGCGAATGAATGGAAAAATATTCGTTTTCTCGTAACCACATCGAGCTCGAACAGTTCATTTAAAGCTCGTTAGGATAAAGTTTCTGTACGTGTACATGTTCGGGCACGGAGTTTTGCTTGGTCATATTTGTTCATCGGCATCCAAAACGAAACAACCTCGAATCGAGAGAAAAGCAGAAGAAAATAAATATATAAATAAAAGAAACACGCATACCGTATGAGTAGTGTTACAAACAGAGACATCGTTTAGTAGGGAGCGTAGGCATTTGTCGCGCAACCTAGGTCCATAATGGAAAACGTCCGTATATCTCTGCCGAATCTCTGCACACCGTTTGCCAAAATACCATTTTATTACTTGAGTTTTTTTGTTTTTACTTTTTTTTTTTTTTTATTATTCTCGTGCGCGTGACACCAGATGCACACCGTCAAACCAAAGCGAAGCCATACGTCGTATAAGAAACATAAAATTAAAGTGTACCCATGGAAACGCGTAGGGAAATCAAACATATTAAAACGTGCACAAGGTACGACGTTTTATTTGTTTTTTTTTTTACAATTAGACCGTAATTAGGATTTAAGGGACATTTAATCTTGAATTCATGTTGAATCTAATAACATTACGGGCGGTTTAGTGTTTTGCACGTGAACTTCATACCTCGCATCATCGTATGATCGAATTTTCTTATCCCTAAAATAAAATAAAAAGTGCCCGTGATCGTACTCGTACTATATTTTTAGATGTGTATAGTGTAACTGCCAACTAAGTGCTACCATTGAAATTTGTTTCCACAAACGTTTTCAGCGTCACAATCAAATAAATTATATAATAACGAAAAAAAAAAAAAAAAAAATAAGACAAATATGTTAAAAATTCAAATATATCGTTTTGTCGTTGAATATTTTGTACAAAAATTGACGACATTATCATTCGAGAAACGCCACCATTTTATAATCTTGCACTAGATTATTGACGTTTAAAACACATATCATATATCCAATGCTTGGCATTAACGAGTTAAAAAGTTTATTTTATTTTAAATTTTAACTCGGCTAGTTACTTTTGAATTTTCAATAAATTAACTATTAACTTACTAACTTTATTTTTTAATTAACGTGAAATTAAAACGGATTAATTTTTCATTTTAAGAAATAAGTTAAGTTTATTTATTTTTTTTTATTTTTTTTTCTTTCGCTATTTTAGTCTATTTCATTTACATGTCAAAAAATATTTATCACGAACTGATTAAAGTTAAAAATGTTATTTTTTCCAATCACTCTACAATCTAAAGAAACATTTTGTTAATATCAGAAAATATTTTATAGTAAATAAGTCTTATATTGTTAATGTTATTCATTTAACTATAACAAATATTAAGTAACAATAATCATTAAGACATATAATAGTACATATATAGTATAAATGATATATTATTATTATAGACGATCAACGACGCTCGATATAATCATATCAGAAAAAAATATATACCAATACTAAAATATAAAAACAAATAATAATAAAAACCAATTATTGATTTTACAATTATGTTCGATGATATGGTTCTATTATCAGTATTCAGTTACCACTTATGAATTTATTGTTATAAGCTTTTACAGTAACAGCAATGATTATAATGAATAATTTAGTTTGACGTTGTTAAAAAATAAAGTACGTAAACGTTGAATAAAAAAAATTTAAGTATTTACTTTTAACTTAATTGAGTTAACCAAAAAATAAATTAACATTTGACTTATAACTTTAATAATAATAAGACGATTTAATGTTGTGTTTTACCGAACGCACAGATTATCGTAATTATCTGTGTTGTTCGAAATGTGCTTGTAATTTTGTCGTGGTGTGAAAACAAATAAAGAACCGCTGTGATTATTATTGTTTTTTCGTTATAATATCATAACAGATACCTGTGTAAATATGTTGTAGCGAGTTTCCGTGTTTAACGCACGACCCAAATATTATCTCGTCGATCCGCGCATAAATACATATAAACGTTTATATTTGGCCACGCAACCCTTCCGTGGACCTTGTCTTCCAGTGCAACATCCCGGTTGACGACATTTTCACTCTCGTTCCACAACCACGATGACCAGGTTGAGAAGATACGGGGAGTATAATTAAACACATCATCGCGTCAAGGTCAACACGAATCTCCTACTGTAACAAAATGTTTGAGTCCAGGAAACGTTATAAAAATATCCAAACACGCATCGTTACGCAATACAACATTTGAGCGCACAAACTGCAGATTTCATGTGTGCGATGAAATACTGCTAAATCTATTCAGCTTACTATTTGCAGAAGAAAAAAATCAACTTGACCGATTAACATTTTAAATTTTGGAGTAAGCTCAAGTAAGCCTTATCACTTTGCAATCTTTGAGACGAAGAGTAGACTGTTATCTGATGGCAATCGCACGATCCGTTATTATAACTTACAAGAAGAATTTACTGATAATACATTTTAGTGGAAGTGTTTGCCACAACGGAACGTACCGAAACAGGTATTTTTATTTCGTTCAAGACTACAAAAGTACCAACAATGTTACAATGGAAATGCTTCAAAACCTTTGTACTTTTATAAAGCGATTTGATGAAAATTACGTGGGACAACAATAGTCGTAACAATTTTTCCCGAGATTATAAATTAATTCATAGATCCAAAAAAAATTTAACAAATAATATCAACGAAATACGTCGAATGATTTTTTTTTTTTGAATATGAAAAAAATAATATTTACATACCAACTGTATTACGGCCAGCGTAAACGTCCAACTATGCCTGTTTTTTTTTTAAACGATCTTTGTTTCGTAGATAAGCTGTTACACATCGTTGGTACTTAACGAATAATGTTAAATACAATACAGTGTGTACACAAATGAACATTAAAGAATTACGAATAATACGAATTTGCGTATTAATGAAGGGAAAGACAAACAATTTCTGTTGTTTAGGAGGTAGGGATCTTCGGCGGTGAAGTGAATATTATCGTCGGCGGAGAGTGCACGCGGAGTAAACAAGTATAATACATGACACACATATGTATAAATGTATTATACACACACACACACACATTAGTAATCCTTATAGGTAGTCGTTGGTGGCGGTAAAAACGTTTTTTTTGTCCGAGAAAAACTCAAGCGACCCTCACTTAATTACGTGGTCGTGTCGTTGAGTCCTTCAATTAGACTTCCCTCCCTCTCTTTTTCCATTCACTCGCTGCTCTCTTACCCATTTCGCTCAACATTTGGATAAATTACATAGTAGTTTAAAACCACCGCCATTTGTACCACATCAAGTATGTTCGTAAAATACTCGATATCCGTTGGTGTGTTTTTCTACTACCTTCACCATGTATCAACAATAAACATTAAACATTTCGAGAGGTTCATAACACACACATAAGTCAATAACTATTAAACAACAATACAAATTAATATAAAACGTTTATGCGCACGTATAATATACGAAAATGTATTTCCCAATTATCCAAAACGGTGTCATACCTTAAACTTTTTATCCAGCCGTCGTACGGTTTTAACGTCACCATTTGTTTTTGTTTAACAAATATCATATTACCATTTCTTTTATCGTCTTTTTTTTGTACATACCATACAACAACGGTAAGTGCAACCGGTGATATATTATCACGTAATGCAATTAACGCACTGTTAGTCTAAGGAAGTTTACTCACTAATGAAAACATAGACTAAAATACAGTGAAGGCTATAGTAAATTTACCATGTGTATCGAAATTATTAAAATCTGCGGACATCCCTAACTAAAAAAAGTATTTTTGTATTTTTTTTTTTTAATATGCCAAATTTTCATAAAATTAAGTACAGTATAAATCTGCCTATTAATAAATAATTTGTATTGACTGATAAACTTGAGTTATAGGATAATCCCTACTATAGTCATTATCCAATCACATCTTTTAGGGAGACTTAAAACCTAAAAACAATACTAACTTTGACTCCCAGGTTTTGAGAATTAAAAATAAAAATTTTGTAATCTAAAGGATATTATTTCTTACAATAAAATAAAAATCAAGTTATCTCAAGCTTTCTGTCAAATCAAAGCCAAAATTTTATCTTTATTTATATCAGTATAGTTTATAATTAATCTATTAAAAATGTTCTTGTATTTAAATAATATACATTACGGATGACCGGAGGCGTCATCATAGTAACAAATTGCACTCATTTATGACATTAATAAGTCCCACTAGGTGAAATATTTACAGTCGCCACTCGATAATTCGAAATTGACGGGACTATTAAAAAATTTCGAATTACCGAGAGTTTAAATTATTGATCAGTTCAAAATAATGAGAGAGCAAAAAAAAAAAAATTCAAATTACCGAGTTAAGAAAAAATGTTAGTTTTTTATTATTGTACATAGTTATTAATTATTTCAGCAAATTAGGTAGAAGTAGTTATTTATTGTTTTTAAAAAGTAAATTTTAACTATGTTATAATCATACTATGCCAATTAAATTATTATTATAAAAAATTATTATTTTTTGAAGAAATCTGTAATGGTTTTCTACTTCATTGAATTTAATTTAATTTTTTCAATAGTATTTTTTGAATTTGATGCACTCATCACAACAACTTTACATCTGACTAAACGAAACTAAAATAAAACTACATTCGACTGAGGATTATCGAAGAGATAAATTAGGATTAAGAAATAAAACAATAAGGTTCTTACAGTATTCATTCTATAGTTATCGAAAATAATATGCTAAATTTCTACACGATTGTATAGTAAATTATTAACAAAAAGATTATAAGAATACAGATAAAATAAATTTGTTGAATACACTTTGAATTGTCACGTGTAAGTTGTAAGTTTTTTCAAAATTTAATTTCGAATTACCGAGTATACTTAAATGCATTGTTTTTATTTGAATTACAACGTGATTTTTAAGGGATCAAGCATTTACTTTGAATTACCGAAGATTTCGAATCATTGAGAGTCGACTGTATATAGCAAATGTATATCATGTTTGCGTGTGTGTGTGTGTGTGTGTGTGTGTATGTGTATAAATTAATCCCAGTATATGTACGAGAAATTGAAATCATAGAAATGTTGATACCCAGTGAATTTTTTCTTGTAAGCTATAATATATTTATTCTTTAAAACAGATGAAATATTAACTTCAGAGAAAACATACGACTAGTAGAATATTTATAAAAAATTTAAAAAAATCCCCATATGATTAGACAGTATTATTTTCAAACATTCATCTAAAATATATATCAATGTTTATAATATGTGTATTTATTTGTACAAGCTTACCGTTGATTAATTAAATCACAAGAATTAATATACCTATAACTTATGCACGGATCGAATGAAATTCGAAAGTATCAACAAAACGCTGAATTACTTTTTTAGAGCAAGGTTTAATTGGTTTTTCGTAGTAACGTCATGTGTATTAGCAGCAGAAAATGCTTTAATCATTGAAAAAACATATGTGAACAAAAACAGTGAACCGTCTCCTGAAATATCGGTGCATAAATTGTAAATTGTCATTAATAATATTATGCACGGGCTACACTTGTAAATAATTATAAATCAACAAATATTTTAAGTTATTTAAAGCTTAAACGTTTCGCGTTAACACAAATAATATTATTATACAAATGGCTCGTACCATTTATAAATTGGGTATTTAGCTGCAGTGGGTGGAAGTAAAGCTATACGCTGAGAAACCGAACGAACATATTTATACGAGATAGCTGATGATTAATACAATGACAATAAAATTAACAACGGTACAGTTGATAAATTATGTTTATCTATCCGTTATACCATTTACTCCGCGAAATCACTTGTAATCAATCGCAAAATTATATAATGAACCAGGAATAATATTGTTATTTATCCTTGGATTATTATGATATTACATATAAATTTTTCCTGTTGCCCTAAATCATCGATGAAGACTTCGAAAAAATATGTTCCGTTATATTTAATATTTTAATAGTGCATGCTCGTTGAACAATTTAAAAAAAAATACGAAACTTTTGGACATTACTTGGAGGACCACATGTCTCTCCTTAGCATTCGATCGTCTCAAGTTTTTCCGAACTTTCGCAAGCTGTATACTTATTTCGGTTAATGCGTGTACACTGTGATGTCCAATTAGAATACATACTATGGTGCAATTGTGTATACAGCAATATTAATATAATATAAACTACAAGTATTGTCCGAAGAGATTATTACTGCGTTTATGATAATAAATTTATTTCAGTTAGTATTGGTACCTAATGCTATGTAACATTAACCTAACCGAGATACATAATTGCAATATAATACTATGACGGTGTTATCTATCTCGGTAAATGCCAAAATATAAGGATAGATCAAGGTGTTCAAAATACTGTTTAGATAAATTAAAGCCATGTAAAAATAGTGACTGGATATGAGACAAGTGTATACCCAATGGTTCCGAGGAAATAGCAATTAATTTCACGCAGTGGTTAACCCAGAAGTATGAAATGGCGGGGGGGGGGATGATTTGTGTTTACAGAAAGACAAAATATATTATTTCAGTAATTTCATGTATATTAGTTATAATATATTTTTAATGTTGAATGTTGTTTTATCATTAGTCTTTCGACCAATATTCAATTAAATATCTGCCTATTGAGTATGTATTACATAATATATAAAACGTCCAAAGGAGGTGAGTTTATGCCCTTTATCCCCTACCCCCTAGGATCAGTACCTGGTTCACAATGTCAACACCGTGGATACATCGTACAAATCACTCGTGTTACATTATCGCATCGTAATAACTTCGATCTCCTTTATTGTTGCGATTGATGATTATATTTTTGAATTAAAATAGTTCACGTCAACAAGTTGCTAAAGGCGTTGAAACCTATCCACCCCGTTTCCCCCAGTACATATCGCATGGGCCGTTTCTGCGCTTCCAAGTTTCAGACCAATTTTGCCACCGTGTACACTATCATGTATCCCCGATCATGCGTTAAATGTCCAAATTTTTAATACGGATTACAAAGGATAAAATAATGTACAAGTAAATATTTAACTCACACTCCTCTATGCCGTTTATATTCCACAATCTTTTGGTTATAATAATCGGTATTCGGTGTATCGCTGTTGCGTACGCGTGTCTGCACGTTTGGCTGGGGAATAGTAAGTTCCTACACGGGTAAAACCATATACGTATGTTAGTTCCTACATAATAAGAACCAGGTACGTATGTAAATTTCTACAATAAAATAATAAAATTAGAAAAATTAGAAAAAAATAAATTTGTATATAAAAATCTTCAAAAAAAAACAATGTATAGAAGTGCCACAGCACCAACAGACGCATCGTTATATTGGATTATTTCTTAATGAAACTTTGAAACATTCAAATACTATATTAGAGTATAGTATATTAGAATATCAGAAAAACGTATACGAAATTACGGAAAAATACAACAAGCTACAGGCTGATAATAGTATCCCGGACTCGACGTAAGAAAGATAAAATATCTTTTTATTCCGACTTTTCATTGCGGATAAAAATGATACAAAACTTGATTTTGCTTTGATAATTTTGTAATTTGTTATAACCATACACCATAAAATATACATCTAGCTTAAAAGTATTTTTAGTATCGTTCGAATTATCCGTGTGCCCGTAGATATCCGTATATATCAATCGCAACGAGCGATAATGTTTCATTCATGTTGAGTGAAAAAGGCAAACAACTGCTAGTTTTAAATGATATTAAAATTTTTAAACATCATACATCTAAAAAAAATGAAAATACGTGTTGTTGTGTTATATTATTTTT